ACAAGACCTACAAAAAAATTTTCGGTGGTTTCGAAATCATTCCAAATCCTAACTCACTCACTCACTCACTGCCCTCACTCCTGGCTTACTACCTTCAATTTCAAAAGTTATAAAAGAAGAAAAACCTTTGAAGCATAATGTACACTTGTGCAATGGCTTCCGAATGCTTTGGGTACTGAAGCTTTGGGATTATTTGCAATATCCAATCGATGGGAACACCTTCGGCGTGAACAAGTTGCCAAAAAATGAACTGTGCCGTTGTTTCCCATGTGAGCGAGGCACTGACAATTGGCAAGAAAGAATCCTTCCTGAAAAATTGCACAAATTACAAATTTTGAGATCAGTGGGGAATTAGTAATTTCAGTACAGCCTTTGCCGCATAGGCAGTAGGATCCGGCTGAAGGTACACAATTCCCTAAAAATCGATGGACCCGGCTTAGCTGTATCAGGTGTAGGGGAGCATCTCAGCAACATATTTGTATGGTATATCCACATCAACTCTGCTCAAGCGGTCTGATCCAGAAAATCCTGGCAATAGAATTTAAGGGAGAAGACTACAGTGATCCAGAAAATTATCATTCTCCCCACACCAAGCCATGTTCGAGCAACCACTCTGTTCAAAATCTTGCGAATGGAAATAATAGACCAGAAGGACTGTACTCAGGTGTCTTGTGTAAGGTGCTACAATTGGCTTAGTAAAATAAAAGAGTTACCTGAAAAATGAGATATTTTCACGGACCATTTCACCAATAAGATCGGCGATTTGTCGCCCATCCAGTGAATGTGCTAAAAGCTTCATTAGCTCCGTACTTCCCATCGCTTCGGTTGCAAATTTCTCATAAACATACGGGATCAGATGCGCGAAAAGCACAAAATCATCAAGATGGCATTGCTAAAACGGCACCTCTTGTTTATATTATTATAACTTAAAGGACAGGCAGCACAAGTCAAGTTCAGCTTTTATCTTTGAACTATGGTAGACGTAAATTTCAGTTTCTTTCAAGCCTTGGAAAAAATCTTTTCCCAACAATTAGCTAACGTTATAGTGATTGACAAGAATACGGGAAGAGGAAAAATGATATTCAGGTGGTCCCCATAGAAGTGGTATTTAGAAATATCAAACAGACGCTGGAAGTACATAGCTCAGGATCGAAGGAGTTGGCACAGCTGGATTTGGGGTATGAAAGCCATCCCAGAAGTATTGTTAATCTGAAATTTCCACACTGACCGTTCAGAAATTCTCGGTATTTTTGGGATCTTAATCTTCTTTTACGCATGCCTTTTTATATGTCATTGCAAACTTTTAAGCAAAAGCCTTCAGCTGTTTCGTAACAAACCTCCAAATCCGAAACGATCTGCTGAATCGGAGAGATATCCAACATGCGACAGAGATCTGTGTAAGCCGTAATTGCCGTATCATTTTGATCCCGACGATTTGAGGAAGTGAAAAATAACAACAAATACGATATGGACGAACATCTAGAAAAAAAAAACACCCAAATTACTGTTTTAACAAAAACAGTTGTTTTAAATAAAAATCCGAATTGAACAAAATAATTCCGGCAGTGGAAAGATAAATGTAGTTGTTGGAGAAAATTTGGGAGGAACTTTTGTTTTTGATATGGTAATATTTGAACAAAAAAAATCACCAAAACTTACTTTTCGCACATTTCGGCAATAAGCGAAAGCAGCGGTTGTCGAGCTGCGTCACCATCTGGTGTCAGGCATAAATTTCGAAAAATCACATACAATGGC